ACTCGATGAAATCATAGCGCGGTGATTTCACTTATATTATGTCTTGAGCAATTCAGTTCTATATTAGTAGTTGTCGCCATTGCGGCCTGAACGTCGTCTCAGCTATATCTATAACTGAGGGAGAATGTATCGGCGTGGACGCACATTGTCTACGCCGGGCGTAGTTGCGCCTGATCGTAGTTTCAGTTGGTGCAACAGGTGTAAATATTTATCGTAAAGCAGGACGTTGCAAAGCCCAGCGTAGGGCTTACACCCAGCGTTTTTACGTCTAGCTGGTGCAACCGGCCCCTGATGTGTAATATTTCCTGATTTCCTTAACTCGCTGAAAGAAATATGAGTCACTGGTGAAGGAAGTGCAGCTGTGTGCGTGTTGTTTAGATCTGTAAGTGCCACGAGACGCGCCCTGGACAGACGCATGGAGTAAAGATCACTGAACTTTTCAACAGAGAAGGTATGTGATTATTATCAACTACTGTGCTGTAAACAGTGTGTTTTATTTCAGTTTATTTATTACAGCAAACAGTGAACAATGCGCGCATGTAAGCACGGGTGTTGACTAATAAAGAATGACTTACCTACGATACAGCGAAGAGTTTACCCATTTTATTTGTTGTTTCATTCATTAACATGCATTATACTGTTTAATGCTTGAAAGTCCAATAATGTACATTAAATAATTTAAAATGTCATGACGCCCTCCAGGACAAGTTACCCTCCCCACCTTATTTTTATATATTTTTTTTTTTTGACCCCTGGAAGCTTTTGAGGTTAATTGCTTTAATTTTGTGTCTCTGGAAAACAGTTATTTGTGACATTGTATTATGTTAAATATAAAAGTTTTTTTGTGTCTATTTGGTAATAAGGGATTTGTGGGCATACTGATGTGATGTTTTTAGATTTAAAAAGTAAAAAAAGTATTGTTTTTATTTTTAAGTAAAGAAGATTTTGTAATTTAGGGGGTTATTATTCAATAATTCCACAACTTAGATGCACATTTCAGACTAATTGATTGAAATTATACAGTTTGAATTCACAGTGTTGCTATTATGACATGTTGTCAATAAAATATTGCGCACGTGAATATGCTATGTAATTCATAGAATAAATGTACTGTTCGTATTAATCTTTTACCAAGATTCTGCTTTGTCTGTCATTAGTTATTCACTTATTCAGCTAAACTGTCATAACAGAAATTTAAATAGATCAGATGATATATTATTATACATTAATGACAGTTAGAAAATATAAAAATAATAAGAATATATAGGTAATAAGTAGTGTGGCCAGATGGAAATTTTTGAATAATGTTACATTTTGTGTTATGACAACTAAATTAGCAAATGTTTATATTTATATTCCTTCATAACACATTTGCTGATGCATCATCATCATCCTACACATGGTAAACGTATATCTAAATATGTTACAGTTTAAAAATAAATGCACATTATCTTGCTCCTTCATACCCTAATATTGATGGTTTTTCATTTAGATAGTGTATTATACATATCTTCTACTGAAGCTCTAAATGACCATATTTTTATGATGTGGCTATGCTAATAGACGTCATTTGATTACTTGAAGAACATTTTGTCTGATGTTACTTCTTCTCTTTAGATAACCAGATGGAGAGCGATGGAAGCTCCAGCACGCCACCTCCACCGGATGTGCACGTATCTCCTGCAGATGAGTGTGTCGGCTCTGACAAGACCCAACAACAGAGTTTGGGTCGATCAGATGGGGCTCAGGATAAGAATGACACCCAGATCCATGCTGCTCTTCCTGATGGGACCTCTGCCACCCTCAGAGGGACACCCACTTCTTCCAGCACTAAACTATGTGGCTACCTCAACAAGCAGGGTGGACCCCTCAAAGCCTGGAAGTCCCGCTGGTTTGTCTACGAGGAGAAGAGCTGTCAGCTGTTTTACTACCGTATGGCACAGGACATCAATCCTCTGGGTAAGGTGGATCTGTCTCGTGCCACGTTCAGTTACCCTCTGCAGGGAGAGGAAGGAACCTTTCACATACAGACACCAGAGCGCACTGCCATTCTCAAGGTAATGTAATCACATGGTTTGAAATAACAGATTTAAAAAAAAAATTGAATTGTGAAGCAACAAAGGGCGACAAGCTTGGGATAGGTTGGTACAGTAATTGTGAAAAAATCACTTAGATGAACATGACAACTATAGATTATTTTACATGATTGTTTATATGAAGAAACGTAAGTCTATTTCAGTGCTGTTATTGTTAACTAAATATATTAAAAATCATTTTATTTAACTACAAAATGAAATAAAATACAATTTAAACATTAGATAAAACTTGAAGGAAAATTAGAAATGCTGCCTTGGTTACTTACTGAAGTTTAAACTAAAGCTGAAAATAAATGAAAATTAAATATAATATTGTAGTACTTTATATATTACAAAAAGTAAAACTAATAAAAATGAGAACAGCGCATAACAATTACTAAAACTTAAACAAATTGACAGTATTTTCAAGAAATTGAAGCACAAATCTGTATTGTCAGAATTTGTCTGTGCATTTAACTTTGTAGTAGTTTGTAAGTCTCATTGTCCTGAAAGTTGATTCTCATTAAAAACTACTTTTAGTTTTATTACTTAAAGGGATAGTTCACACAAAAATGAAAATTCTGTCATGTTGTTCCAAACCCGTAAGACCTTCATTCATCTTCCGAGCACAAATTAAGATATTTTTGATGAAATCCAACAGCTTTCTGACCTTGCATAGACAGCAAGGGAACTACCACATTCAGGGCCCAGAAAGGTAGTAAGGACATCATTAAAATAATCTGTTAAATAGTTTAAATAGTAATTAATGACTGAATGTTCATTTTTGGGTTAACTATCCCTTTAAATGAGCATACTATACATTGAAGACAATACATCAAATACTGTCATTATGTATAAACACTTAACTATTTATTATTTATTTAATCCACAGTAATGAGCATTGGAAGGAATATGTGCTTCATTGCAACAATATTGAATAAATGCCAATGTGACTGGGAATGTCCCCGGGGAAAAAAGTTTTATGAATTTTTTTTATGGCACTTAGGTTCTAAAGGTCAGTTGCTTTTCAAAAACGAGATTGTAGGGTATAAATGGGGGGAGGAATTTAAACCTTTCTTTCTTTCTTTCTTTCTTTCTTTCTTTCAAATGCCTTTAAAATGGAACAGTGATCACATGACTGCACTTCATATTACACGCACCACATACTAGAGTATCAACAGAGAGAAAAGGCTGCTGGCTGTACACATTTCGATAAAGTGTAAAGTTCTGATTAGTGGTCATTGGTCAATATGTTTTTTTCTTAATTCTTAAAATATGATCACCCTTGAGTCTCTCTTTTGACTGTTACACATTAGGGTTACATATGGAGGAATAACAGTCAAGCATCTTGAGTAAGACAACAATACTTTCCTCTCAACAGTCTTCAAACATGATTTTGTTTTTAGGCAGCTAACAGGGATGCCCAGATGTACTGGTTGCAGCAGCTGCAGTTGAAACGTACATTATACAGGGAGCAGCATGCTGAACATAAGTCCATATCCAAACCACACAGCCACAAATTGGAAAGCACCCCATCAGCAAACAACTGCCGTGGTAAGAGCCTATACATCTTAGTAATAATGAAACCCGACATTGCTTACATGAAAACTGAAAAACATTTACTGCATTATGGAAATTACACTGTTTATGAAATATGATCAGAGGGTGAATGCACTTCATTTTTCCAAGTAAAGTTCAGTTGTTTGGCCAGTCATGTGATACAAAGTTAATAGAAAGTGAAAGATGATCAGAACCAGTCAGATCTTGAGGACTATTCCAGAATGCTTGGAATCTGTGTACCAAAATAGTGTTTTAACTGACTGTTTCTATTGCCAGAGGAGTTCCTTCACCTTCAAACTGGTAAGATAGTAATGAAAAAAGATGATAAATGAAATTTCAAAATGTTGCCTTAAAAACTAGTAAAAATGTCAAAAGCACTTAACAATTAACTAAAAATGTAATAAATACTATAATTATATGTACAGTGCTGCTTGAAAGTTTGTGAACCCTTTAGAATTGTCTATATTTCTGCATAAATATAACCCAAAACATAATTAGATTTTCACACAAATCCTGAAAGTAGACAAAGAGAATCCAGTCAAACAAAGGAGACAAAAATATGTACTTTGTCATTTATTTATTGAGAAAAATTATCTGGTGTTAAATATTTGTGAGTGGAAAAAGTATGTGAATCTTTGTTTTCAGTATCTGGTGTGACCCCAAACAGGCCCAAACCATGATACTACCACCACCATGTTTCACAGGTTCTTATGCTGGAATGCAGTGTTTTCTTTCTCCAAACATAACGCTGCTTATTTAAAACTAAAATGTTATATTTTGGTCTCATCCATCCACAAAAAAATTTCTCCAGTATTCCTCTGGCTTGTCCGCATGATCTTTTGCAGTCCTCTGAAACCTAGTGGACTTTTACACATCTTGCTTTTAGAGTGATCTTTGTTGGTGGACCACTCCTGGGGAGGGTAACCGTGGTCTTGAATTTCCTCCATTTTTACAGAATCTGTCTGACTGTGGATTGGTGGAGTCCAAACTCTTTAGAGATGGCTTTGAAACCTTTTCTAGCCTGATGAGCAACATCCACTCTTTTTCTGAGTTTGTTTGTGCCATGATACACTTCCACAAACATGACCAAACTTTGATAGATCCCTGTTCTTTAAATAAAACAGGGCACACAATGACACCTGATAGTCGTCTCAATGATTAAAAACACCTCTGAACAGATGGACTCTAATTTCACCTTCAAATTAACAGCTAATCATTGAGATTCACATACTTTTGCCGCTCACAGATATGTAATATTGGATAATTTTCCTGAATAAATAAATGACAGTATATATTTATCTCATTTGTTTGATTGGGTTCTCTGTCAACTTTCAGGACTTCTGATGATGATTTTTTGGGTTATATTTATGCAGAAATATAGACAATTCTAAAGGGTTCACAAACTTTCAAGCAGCACTGTATAGGCTACTAAAATATATTCTAGGACCATTAAGTTTTTGTATTTTGACAGTATTTTCAAGACAGTTAAGCACATTTGTATCAATTTTTATTATCAGAATGCGTCTCTGCATTTAACTTTGTAGTTTTTGTAAATCTCATTATCATCAAAGGTGATTCTCTTTAAAAACTACTGTAATACAATTTAATTAAATACTACCATAATGTATAAACACTTTTTTTTTCATTAAAAAATGTTGCCTTGCCAACTGTAACAGACGCTGGAGTTTGGTTAGAATCCATGAGCGGAAGTTTATTAAAGGTCAAGGCTTTAAACAGATGTCGATAATCAGGCAGAGGGTCAAAGTCAGAGAAGCAAGCAGATCGTTCGTCATACACAGGGGCAGAAGCAGAGACAATAGTGGAAAGGCAGGCAATGAGTCCAAACACAAACATCAGTCCAATCAGGCGTCAGAACAAAAGGGGCAGAGTACAAATACCGTGAGTCAAGAAGTCAGGCAGAATCATACACAAGGAATCAATCAGGAACAGAGGAACAATAACGCTTGGTAAGGCAGATGAACTGGCAATACTTCGCGATCAGCACATGGACTGGTCTCAGTTTATATGAGAGTCAAACAGGAAATGGAAGTAGAGGAAGCAGAGGGAGTGGAGCATGGTCAGTACTCGGGCGAGGGCTCCCTCTGCTGGCTTGGCGTTACAGAACCCCCCCTTTGGGCCTCCAAAGAGAGCAAACAACACCTCCTCTCCTTGCTCATTTACGACCCCCTTCTCCTCCCTGCCCTCTCCGCCTCTCCCTCTTTCCCCCCAAAAGGTTTCACTCAAAGTTCATTAAGAATATGCATATCCCACATATCATGTAACTTGTGAACCTGCTGTTTTTCCCCTTCATGTTTGGTATAATTTTAAAGGTCTTTGTGCGATTGGTAAATTGGTCTCAATTTCACAGTAGTCACTTGTATTATAAGAAAGATTGAAAACTTTTGTAGAATTGTGTTCTGCTGAGGAGGGGGTGTGTTCCCCTTTAGGGGTGTAACAGAGACGCTGGAGTTTGGTTAGAATCCATGAGCGGAAGTTTATTAAAGGTCAAGGCTTTAAACAGATGTCGATAATCAGGCAGAGGGTCAAAGTCAGAGAAGCAAGCAGATCGTTCGTCATACACAGGGGCAGAAGCAGAGACAATAGTGGAAAGGCAGGCAATGAGTCCAAACACAAACATCAGTCCAATCAGGCGTCAGAACAAAAGGGGCAGAGTACAAATACCGTGAGTCAAGAAGTCAGGCAGAATCATACACAAGGAATCAATCAGGAACAGAGGAACAATAACGCTTGGTAAGGCAGATGAACTGGCAATACTTCACGATCAGCACATGGACTGGTCTCAGTTTATATGAGAGTCAAACAGGAAATGGAAGTAGAGGAAGCAGAGGGAGTGGAGCACGGTCAGTACTCGGGCGAGGGCTCCCTCTGCTGGCTTGGCGTTACACCAACAAACTGAAATAACTGAAAATATAACTGAAATATTTTTACTTCACCTTCAAAATTGTATAAATTCTTCTTTCAATAATCTGACTGGTTGTTACACCCAAAACTAGTCACCTACATCTGGTGTTCAAAATAAAATAACTTTCCCAAAATAGAGGCCATTGTTACTAAACAATGTTACTAAACTATAGGCTCTGGCTATGAGCACAGGGCAGAGGCAGAGACAGAGACAGAGACAGGAAGCAGAGCCAAGGATAGAGGGAGGAAAGCAGCAGATTAGCTGCAAGGGAGCTGCTGAGATTGACCAATCAGATGCCACGTCATTCTGCCACATTGTTATAGTTAGTCATGATCTGTAGCCCCAGGAGGAGGTTGCAAAAGCTCAGTCTGATATTTAGTTTGTAGATAGATCATCAGGACTCATACGGTCTCCAGCCAGTTTGTGCATGTATTGTCTAACCTCATTCTGTCATCTGTTTTAGCAGGAGGGTGTGTAGACAGGAAATGTCAGGACTGCTAATCATCCGCAAACTTCAAGTAAACATTTAGCAATTCTGGAAAAAGGGTGGGATGGATATTGATATCCATCTTTTCTTTTTCATTATCCACTACATCTCACAAAAACTAAAGAAAATGATAAAAGCACTTGGTCACTAAAAACATAATATATGGCTAATGAAGTCTGAAATGTAATTTAAACTCATTTTTGAGGCACCCAAAACTTTTGGCAATTATAGTGGAAATGTGGCAGCAGTACTTTGATACTAATTGCTTTTTAGTGTATACCAGCTATATGCAGATAACTGGATTAATTAATGAATTAATTGCAAGTTGTTTCCTGTCTCTTCTAATTTCCAATGCAAAATGCATCATTTCCAGGAATCCAAGTATACAGGGTTGGGCTTCTCATGCTAAAAGCACACTCATTACTTACATTCACAGCCATCCCCTTCCAACCGCAAGCTGTGGTATTCAGGCATTAAGCAACAGCTGTCGAATGAGAGTCAAATGCAGAAAATGAGGAAGTTAAAGTCTGAGCAGCTGAATCTGTAGAAAATCTGGAATGTTGCAACACCAGACAAAGACAGACAGTATGGATATTTATTTATTTTTTACTCAATGCTAGCTTGTGGTTAGCATACAGATCTTTTAAACAGCACTTATGTGATTATTAGAAATTCCAGGCATGCTGGGACATGTACCTCACCCTGTGCTAAACAACATTGTTTCGTTCTGTCATTTGAAAAGAGATAGGTAAAGCACGATAGAGAAGAAAACAAAAATAACATTGTACAGGCATAAGCTTTATTTTTCTTTATAAGCTTTTTATTTTTTCTAACTGTACCATTCAAAAGTTGAGGGTCAGTAAGATTATTTTTCTTTTTAAAGAAATTAATAAATAAATAAATGTATTCTGCAAGGATTCATTAAATTGATAAAAAGTGACTAATGTATATATACAGGGTATATTTGTAGCAATAGCCAAAAATACATTGTATGGGTCAAAATTATTGATTTTTCTTTTATGCCAAAAATCATTAGGATATTAAGAAAAGATCATGTTCCATATAGATATTTTGTAAATTTCCTAAAGTAAATATGGAAAATGCTTTGCATCACAGGAATAAATTACATTTTAAAATATATATTTATATAGAAAAAGTTATTTTAAATTCTCAATATAATAATTTTATTATATTTTTATCAAATAAATGCAGCCCTAAGCATAAGAGATTTCTTTCCAAAACATTCAATCTTACTGTGATCTCAGCATTAAAAATTGTTTGCATGTGTTTTCTTACCAAACAAATAAGAAACAAGAAAATCTCATTATCTGAAAGCATGTTGTTATACTGATCTATCAGATGTATTTAACGCAGTGGGTTTGCTGCTGAGCGTGATTTCACCAAGTACAAAATGTTCCTGGAACAACATTCCAAATAACCAATCAGAATTGAGGGATAACTTTTCAGGAAATATCTGTTTTAGGCTTACGATCAGGGTTAGGTGCTTCTACACCCTTGTTAATCAGCTATCATTTCACACTGATTTTAGGAATAAATTATGGGTAGGGTTAGGTTTAGTGGTAGGGATTGGGTTTAGTCTATATTTTTGGACCGTAATGTTGATCCAGGATCAACAAAAGATGTTGATCCAGGAACATGTCTTACTTGGCAAAATCACGGCGACCACTGCTGAACATACTTTCTGCCTTCTCTTACACAGCTGACTTCTTGCCCATAGTGAAGACACCTTCTGGCCTGGTGGGTGAAGAAGCTGCCAGTCTGCCTGCACCTGGATTAAACAGCCCGCTCAACATGTCAATCAAACATCCACTAATTGGGCTGCAGTGAGTACATGTGCTTATGATGTTTACTCTGTCTGTTCTCACAGAACGGATTCTGGTGTTATGGGATATTTCTAGGGTAAAATGAAAAATGGTTCACGCTTACAGTCTGTGTCAGTGCCTTCCAAAAAAGCTGTGTTGTAATTCTCTGAATTTCTCTAGAATTATTATTTTAAGGAAGTTAGACCCACAAGCATATACGTCATTTCCTGGGATTTTATTATACATAGGAGTGACCGCGTTGTTTTATGAGGGGTTCTCATACTAGACAACATCACATAAGAGAAAACAGTAATGGGATTTAAACCTAGTATGTGAAAAAAGTATTTTATTATTGTTGTAATAAAAGGCAATTCTTATTTTAATAATAAACCAAGAAATATGGGCTTGTTTTGTTCACTGAATAATGTGGGCATTGTACCAAATAGTTTATCTAATATATGATTAGGAAGTAATATTAGTTTCACATCGGTCTCAATGAAAGTGGGAAGTTGCTTCTATTTCTGAATAAAACACATCACGTCAAACACTATTTCATCATCATCTTCAATGTCAAAAATGATTAAACTGATTACATAAGCATACAAAGGAGCCTGTTTAAAAAAAAAAACAATCAGAAAAATTCTGAAGTATAGTTGACTGCATATAAATAAAATGCATTAAAATATAAATTGTCACTCTATATCTATATCTCCCAATCTTACTAATATTTCTAAGTAAGATAGATGATATTTAAATGCTTAGTTTTGTGAAAGCTTTGTAGTTTTTATTCTAGAGCAAAACATACAATGCAGTTCAATACAATGATGAATGAGAGATGAACGTTAATAAACATTCCTCAAAAACCTTAAAATTTTAGAATGATTTTTCTAAAAAGTTTTCAGAATTATACTAGAAGACAACAATCAGATGACTGAAGGAATGTAGTGGATTGTTTACAACAGGTTTTGCAGAAAAGTTTGATCATGTTGATAATTTACAGGCCTTAGAAATTCAGATATAAGGCCTATCAGATATAATCCAGTAGACTTTGATTAGAGTTTTATCTGATGGTTAATAAGATGCGCATTGTGCAATTAAACCCTACAGACTTAAATTAAAGAGACCAAGACATATCTAGAGACTACAATGTCCTCTGTTAATTTAAAGGAGACATATTATGCCCCTTTTTACAATATGTAGGGTTAATCTTTTTCACGTTTCCTTGTTGGTAGATGCACTGGGGACCTGATTATAGCACTTAAAACCTGGAAAAGTCCGATTTTCATGATATGTCACCTTTAAGCCACCTAGCAACCATCTACAATACATTTAGCATCATCAACAAGTTTTGTACTCGCCTTTTTTTTCCAAAAATGAAGTTATTGTCACCGATAGCCTCGTGGGCAGCGTGTCGACATGTAGCGCCATTGCGCTTCGGGCGTCCCGTGTTCGAGTCCCGGCTCGCAGACCTTTCCCGATCCCATCCCCCCTCTCTCTCCCACTTCGCTTCCTGACTCACTACTATCCTATCAATAAAAGGCAAAAACGCCAAAAATAAATCTTAAAAAAAAAAAAATGAAGTTATTATTGCTAATCAATTCTTCAGTGGTTTCTCTATGTTTGATTTACAGGAACACAGTGCACAGTTTCCGTAACCGGCACTCACAGGAAATTAGACAAAGTGTTTTCCATATTGATGACTCAACTGACAAACAAAAAACACCCTCATCTAAGACATCCAGTAAGAACCACAACTTTCTCACTAGAAAAATAATAAACAATTGTTTCAAATTTAAATGCTCATGGCCACCGTCCTCCTTAGCTTTAGCGGTTCCCACATCCAGTTCATCTCAAAGCCCAGAATCCCCTGCTAATGCCAGGTCTGAGCAAGATCTCTCCACCATTTCACCAATCAGAAAGAGTAGCAAAGAAAAGTCCACATCACTGGAGCTCAAGGACACATCTCGACTTCAACATGAAAAACTTTACCTGGCAGAAGAGGTCAAAGCGCAGAAGGTAAAGTGAGAAAGTTAATAACCACTTCAGCTTCTCATAAAAGATTAATCAACTGAAAGTCACATATGTATGTGTTGTCAGGAGTTGGTGTTGCTGTTACATAAGGTGCTAGAAGCTGCTCAGCTGGAGAAGCGCACCTGTGCTCAGTTTCTAGCCGCTGAGGGAGAGCAGGAGCGCTTGGAGCTCCTTAGACACGGCGAGAGGCGTGCGGCCGAACTGCAAGACCATCTGGAGTCCCTGCAGCAAGAGAACGAGAACCTACGGAGGGATCTGAACCAGAGGGACGCCCATATCGCCGAACTCCAGGAGAGCGTCCAGCTCCTGATGCACAAGAATCAGGCCAAACAGGAAGTGATAGTGAAGCTGTCTGAGAAGTTAGCAGTCTGTGGGGAAGACCAGCAGTGCACCAATGGGCTGCAATCAGAGGCCTTAAAACAGCTAACAATCGAGAATGAGAATTTGAAAGTGAGAAAATACAGCATTTTTACATACAAATATATGGTATTACAATATAATTTTCTATATTTACATAAAAATATTGTCCTTTTTGTCAGTAGTATTTTATTATATACTATATAATAAAAAATATATACACACACATATATATATATAATATATATATACACACACACACAGATAGATAGATAGATAGATAGATGACAACATGTAAAATGTAAAAATAGAATTCTATTTCAAATAAAAGCTTTTCACTTTTCTAATCAGCAAAGAATCCTGAAAAAATGATCATGATTTCCACAAAAATTTTAGTATGGTACCACAGTATAGCTGTTTTCTACATTGATAATAATAAACTGAAAATTCAGCTTTTCCATCACAGGAATAACTTACATTTTAAAATACATTAAAATAGAAGAGTTATTTAAAATTGTAATAATATTTCACAATATTACAGTTTTTTTATTTTTGATCATGTAAATGCAGCAAGAGACTTCTATAAAAAAAACATACAACAAAACTTACCAACCCCAAACTTTTGAATATATAACTAATAATATAAATGTGCATTATTTATGAGCAGTTTATCTGCATTTTATACTTCTGAAATGACTGCGCCAAGCATGATTGCAACTTTACACTAAGCCAAAATGTGATCATATCTCTATTTCAGGATGATTTGAAGGCATATAAAACTCAGAACCAGTACCTAAACTCTGAGATCTATCATCTGACGACACTTTGGAGAAAAAGTTGCGAACAGGAGCAAAGTCTGATAGTAAAGGTAAATTATTTTTCAGTCAAGGTTTCTTGCACCAAAAAACAGACACATTTTTGCTACTGTCTTTACCCTTTGTACTGATTGGCTAATCTAAACACTAAATGGCTCTTCGTGAACTGAGAGAATAGTGTTTTGAAAGTTAGAGTGTGTTCACTTCTATATCAAAAGATCAATAGAAATTACATTTTTATAATATAAGCGCTTTAAAATTGGTCAGAGCCATTTGCGATGGTAATCTGAGATAGTAAACATCAAGAAGTGTTTGAAAATTGGATTTAGTGTTGTTACTGTGTGTGTGCCAGTGTGCTGTTCTGGAGGCCAACAGCTGTAAGATGGAAAGCAGATACCTGGGAATCCTCCAAAAGCTCCAGGAGAGTAAGGAATTGAATCCAGAGCAGAGAGAAGCGGTCAAGAAGGTGGTTAAGGATGCAGTTCGGGCAGACCTGAGCACTGCCGTCAAACTAAACTTAATCAGGTAAACAGTCCCATCAGTTTACCCCAAATACAAATTCTGTCATCATTTATTCACCGTTCTTTTCGTCTGTGGAGCCTTGCTGTCAGCAGACCTTAAAACACAAATATTTTCCCCATATAAATGTTTGTCAGAGTTCTATTTATGTTGGAACTCACAGTTCCCGACATTCCACAGGGATTACGATGAATATGGATTTACGATTGCAATGGACTACAAAATTGAGGACCTGAAGCTCTTGTTGGCTCGTTGCGCTCAGCTCCTGTTTGGACGCCCTGAAGGAGAACTGTCTTCATCCACAGAACTGAAGAATCTCCTCCGGACGGGCTTACCACGCGAGTACCGTGCGAGGGTTTGGCGCTTTATTATACAGACTAGGACCAAGTCTCTAAAAGAGCGTCAACCCGACCGCTATCAGGAACTGTGCGAGAAGAGCAGAACCTCGCCTCACCTGGTGCCCAGACAGATCCAGCTGGACCTGGATCGTACGCTGACCTCCAATCAATACTTTTCCCCTCCTTCAAGCCCCTTGATTCAGAAGCTGGAGAGAGTTCTGCAGGCGTTCTCTTGGCAAAACCCTACCATCGGCTACGTACAGGGACTCAACAGGTAATTAGCCTCCATAGACATAAAAAGAGAATTGGCTTTGATTAGAGGTGATTATAGAACTAATGCGAGTAGTACAAGTAATGGCCTATCACAAGAGCTTTTAGACTGAACAGGCCACTTTTGTTTTAAAAAAAAATGGGGAATTGGGTATGTTACAAAGAACAAAAAATGCCAAATTTTGCCAAATGTGACCCTGGGACCACAAAACCAGTGATGAGGGTCAGTTTTTTTGAAATTGAGATTTATACATCATTTGAAAGCTGAATAAATAAGCTTTCCATTGATGTATGTTTTTTTTTAGGATAGGACAATATTTGGCTGAGATACAACTATTTGAAAATCTGGAATCTGAGGGTGCAAAAAAATCTAAATATTCAGAAAATCGCCTTTAAAGTTGTCCAAATGAAGTTCTAAGCAATGCATATTACTAATCAAAAAGTTTTTATATATTTACGGTAGGAAATTTACAAGAAATCTTCATGAAACATGACCTGTACTTAATGATTTTGACCCATACAATGTATTTTTTGTTATTGCTACAAATATACCCGTGCGACTTATGACTGGATTTGTGGTCCAGGGTCACAATTTTACATAAAAAATAAAAATAAATAAAATACAATAATTTAATATAATGCATGTTACAAAAAAATAAAAAGTGCCAACTTTTGGCAGATTTACTAACCACTTTATAAAAATGTCTTTATTTAATCATTTAAAATAAATGTATTTTAAATATAAAATGTATTAAATATATTACCGTATATACTTTATTTCAATGTTATAATTAATAATATCTTATATAATGTAAAATATAATATAATTTTTGAAAGAAGTCAGTATCTTATTTATTAAATTATTTATTTATTAAAACATGCTGATTTTAAGTGTGGTCTCAGATTCTCTACTTTTTCCCCCACTTATTAAGTTAAAATGTAATTATTATATAATTTAAACTATTTCATTTATATTAATATAAATATATTAAATGTATCATTTAATTTAAGTCTAAATATTGAACATAAATCTCAATGTTAATATATAAAATACACGAGCCAACATAAAATACTTTTTTTTGCTAAATCTGGCAAAATATGGCTTCAAAATGCTTATTTTCACAATGCTTACCAAAGCTATGTGGTAAGTGACACAGAAATGGCATGCAAAGTAATAGTTGCCTCATCTGCCATGCTGAACACTGCATACAAACGATTTAATACCATAACATGTATTGTACTGACATCTGCTGGTCATTTGTTGATCAACAACATTCTGAGTTAGGTGTAGGTTTACTGTAAGGGCCACAATATCTATATGCAAAAAGAAAGGTAAATAACACCATCGATGCCACTGTGTGCAGACTGGCAGCCATTGCTCTGCTGGTACTACAGGATGAGGAAGATGCCTTCTGGTGCTTGGCAGTGATTGTGGACTACATCATGCCTCCCCATTACTACACTAAAGACCTGGTGGGCTGTCAGGTGGGAACTCTGCATTAATCCTAAAACTTGCTGCTTATTTTAATGGTTCAGATTTTGTTTTCAATCCCGGATTTTCGGTATGGTCTCAGACTATTATTCACTACTGTTTTTAAATGTTTGGAAGCAAGTATTGAAATACTTCTCAATCTTTCTTCTTCCAATCTCTCCAGGCTGACCAGCGTGTGCTAAAGGACCTCATGTCTGAGAAGCTGCCTCGACTCACGGCTCATCTGGAAGCGCTAAAAGTAGACGTGTCACTCATCACTGTTGAATGGTTTCTGGTGTTGTTCGTTGAGAGTCTGCCTACACGCATACTGTTTAAAGTATGGGACGCCTTCCTGTATGAGGGCATCAAGGTACTGTAAAGCATTCTGGGGAGATGCTGTATAGATCAATACCTGGGTCTCTAATAATAATAGTTTTGTTTGTAATATGATTACCCTCATTTTGACCCTAATCCAGTTGTGTAAAAGACCTACATTTCCCATAATTTTTACAAAAAATCACAAGCCTACAGGCCAAATAAGAGGACACAACATTGAACCAAATCCCTCGTTCATGTTTCACAGGTGATATTTCGCTATGCATTGGCTCTTTTCAAATACAAAGAGGAAATCATCTTAAAGATCGATGACAGTGTTGAGATGTACCAGTATCTCCGCATCTTCCCCTACACCATTGCAGATGGAAGGTAAGATGAAGGATAGCAAATGGAAGAGAGAAAATCCAAGAGAGAAAGTACAGAGTGAAAAAAAGCGCAAGAGTAACATAAAATATACATACAGAATACAGTATATATAATGAACTAACATGCTCTTCTACAGTATGGAATAGTAATATTATTGTGCATATGATGCATTCTAAAAGTATTAAAGCATTATACAGTAAATGTATTCATGCCTTGTGCTAAAAAACAAGCAAATTAGTTAAAAATATAAAACGATGCATAATCAAAATGTTTTTTACAATTGTAATTTAAATAGTATATATTAGTCAATATATATATATATATATATATATATATATGTGTGTGTGTGTGTCTGTGTGTTTGTGTGTATATAAAT